AGGTTCACAGTTTTATTGAATTCCAATCGCTGTTATCACCAAAACTGTTTTTTCGTAAAGCAGAAAACTGCTGTTTAAACAAAAGCTTACATTGAAATGTAATATCTTCTACAACCACTTTATATTATGTAATGTGAAACAAAAATCGTATATGTAGATACTAAAAACAAACTATCGCATGCGAAAAAAAAAAAAAAAGAAAGCAACATAAAACATCATATTACACTTAAAATCGGTACGCTTCCAATGAAGGTGCCTGTCGACATCGAGCTCATGCCTGACGAAATCCATAAAGACAAGCGTCCGCCTGTCGAAGGCGAGTACTTAACTGTCAGAAATGAGAGCGTGCCTGACGAAATCGATAAAGGTAAGCGTTCGCCTGTCGAAGGCGAGTACGTACTTGTCAGAAATGAGAGCGTGCCTGACGAAATCGATAAAGCTAAGCGTTCGCCTGTCGAAGGCGAGTACGTAGCTGTCAATAACGAGAGCGTGCCTTTCGAACAAGAGTGTGAATATCCGCCGCAGACAACCAAATGTTAGTACAAAGAGAACGCAATGTATCTAATTAATTAAGGGTATCGATAGGTAATTTTTTGTGTACATTTAAATTAAACTCTTCGAAATTTATTATTTTCAAACAATAAAACAAACAACTTTTACCTTGCTACAAAAACCACGAAATTTCAATAGGCACTGAGTTTATGTTGGAATTGACACAAAAAAGGAGAAGAAAAATAATTGCTGCAAATTTTTAACGGTCTAATTAAAAGCAGGACTAGTTAATGTTTAAAAACTTTTCGGTGTTAGTTTATGCGAAAATTTTTCATTTCGTTTTCGGAACTAGGGTGTTGACTTGGTGTGTTGTAAGCGGTGAATAATAATAGTCCTTGTGTCCACAGGGTCCTGCTACGAGCCGCTTGGAATGGAATCCGGCGCAATACCTGATGAGGCCATTACCGCCAGCTCCTCTTACGTACCGAATGTCGGCCCCAAAAATGGAAGGTAAGTAATGAGAGTAACTTGTTAAGTGCAGCCATTGCTGGCTCGTTTAGAGACACACTGGCAGGCACTCTTTTCACATAATGGGCCTCTGACACGACGTCACGACGTCGATACGCCGGCGCCCTTTCTTCTTTCACCCCCCATCCCCTTGAATTATAGTCTACTACGATGCATTAAGACAAATAAAAAAGTCCAACCTTACCTGTTATGCGTAATTTATCTTTCTCTATTTCGAGCAGAACGTTTTAGAAAACGAAAGTGGGTAAATTTGGTATTTTGAATGTATATGTACGTATTTTTCATCATCAAACTGAAATTTATTTTAATTAATTTCGCAGAAGGACAAAACCAAAAACACTTCAACGTTTCGTTAGAACTAGTCAATTTACTTTTGGACTATTCTTCGAAATCAAAACAGCTTGAAAAGGTACACGCGTTAGTGGATGGATACGTGTTGGTTCCAATTAAAGAACGAAACGTTTCGCAGGTCGGCATTTTCCTCTTATATTAGTATTTCCCTTAATTAAAGAACCGACCGTCAAGAAGCTACCGAGCTTTGTTACAATTAGCGTCAGCGCAGAGAAAACGAAAACAAAACAAAACGCTTTGTGTAATTTGTACTTCTGGAAGCTTATCCTGAGGCACGATTTAAACTCTAAAGCTTTAATGTTAAGATATACTGTAGGAAACGCTAATGCTATGAGTTTTGTAACGATTAGAGAAAATTTGAAGTCAGTAGGAGCCTGGACACATTGTCAATAACTCCAGGAAGGATGCAGTTCATGATGCAAAAATGTTGCAGTGCTCGGACCGCAATAGTGAAAGGCACGAGATATAACAAACTATATCAATGTAATTTCTTTTTTAGTTAAACTATCTATACTTCATTTACTTTCTTTACCGATCTGCCCCTTCCAATGCCTTGGATGCGCGCTGGCAAAATCGCAGGTAGGGAGAAAAAAGCTCATTATACTCTCGACTCTTGTTCATTAAACATACTTTTTCATACAGTACCTGCCAAAAGTTTTGTTCAATCATGAATAGTAGTGCGAGTCGAAAACAATCGTTAAAGCCTTTAATATGTCCTCAAATATAAATAAACATCTCGTTGACATTTTCATTGGTACCAATGACAGCACATTCGAGCAATGCAATTGTAGTGGATAAAATGGTCAATTTTTCCCTGCAGTACCTACTGTACAGATTATACGCTCCTCACCGGTTAAGAGTTTGGCCGAGAGTTGTCTCCTTCCTTTTCTGGCCTAGTGCTGTTCTTTTCTACCTTGCGCCGGTCAAACTGAAGGTCACATTGCTACAGAAAGTAAACGAAGTATAACAAAATGTATCAATGTACGTTTTCTTTTAGTTAAAGTATCTACCTAATACTATTTAATTCAATAATCTGGAACGACAAGATCGTTTAAACAACAATTGTCGGTTAATTGGGTCTTCAAAGAAAAAACGGTTAAAAAAGGTTGCTTCACAAATTGCAAAATAAAAAAAAAGATCAGTAATTTGTTTGATCAATAGGGCGACAGATCCCTTTGTTAAAGTTCAACGGTGACGGTTTCGCCCTTGGGCTCGTCAAATTCTTTTCGGGTCCCTCGAAACAGTAACTGCCATTAGGTAAAATTTGACGGCATATAGCAAGGGGCAAATTTATCGCGTGAAAAACGCTCCCATGTCCTCACACCTTAAGCGATAGTTAAGAAAATAAAAGACGCAAAAGGCAGAACAATAAAAGGGAACAAAGTACAAAAGAGCACGCTCTTAAAACGCGACACTTTCATGACACATATTAGGACGTTATATGGCAAGCGCCTTTTGTTACCAATTTTCTTTCGATATTGAAACATGAACCTTACACTTTCATCAAAGTGGCGTATTAAATAAAAAGGAAATGTTTGTCGTGAAATTCCTTACAAAATGTTTAAAGTGTGGAAAGGTTCTGAAGCTAAAACGGTCTTAAAAAAACTGGCATTAATTTTAAAAATAGAAAAGAATACATAAATATTCTCAAAAGAGTTCGTGAATATTAGGTTAATGTTCACAAAGGTTTAGTTGAATTTTAAAAACTAATTGTACTCTCGGCTTCATCCACTTGGAATTCAGTTTGTGACTAATATACGTAACTCACATTCTATCAATTATCCTTAATTTATAAATATAGATCCTCCAGACTTTTTACAGGCCTTTTTAAGCTCTAATATAACTTTTCTATAGAAAACATTGAGATATCTGTTACCGTTGAGGCAGCATGCGTACGAAACCAATTCGCTCGATCGTTTTTCCGTCGACTTACGCAGCAAAACTGATCTCTACGGAAAGCCCTTTTATTTTAACGGAATTATATACATCCCTTTTTTCCCGTGAAGACCCACTCTAAATATTGGTGAAAGAATTTTTCAAATCGGCTGAGTAGTTTCGGAGATCACCCGTTATATCCGATCATACAACAATTCGGGTTCGTCGCTTAACGCACCGTTGATGTCTCTGAAGTTTTCTTCAAATAACAGAAAAACTGGGCACTTTATAAAAAATTTTTTCAAACAAAAGTCATTCTAGAATTCAAGGGCTATCTAACGGTATAAGCAGAAAATCTTTATCTTGTATATTAAGTGACCTTTGATCCCAAAAACGTAAGAAACACCGATCATGGAATCGTTATTCAATACTAATCGAACAAAAATTATTTTTCTCTATTCAGAACTAACTGTAATCGAAAAAATTGTCAAAGAATCAACTTTAATACGTGATAAAGCATTATTTATCTATTTTGAAGTCTAAAAATTAATATATCTACAAGACAATAAATACAGATACTTACTAATTAAAATGATAAAAATAGCCGAAATTATTGCGCATTATATCGACAAAGTCACCGTCTATTTTCATAAATTGTAGTTATTGTGTGACATCCACTTGATCGGTAAAATAACCTATATTTAGGTTCAACATTCGTATTTATCATCATTAGAACTTACTCATTATGTAAATTACTACATTGAATATACACAGTTGTAATTCCACAGTTACATTTTATGTAGATATATGATATTAGAGTAGAACTCGTCCTGTTCTATTATGAATATAATTATATTGAGTGCAATAAATAAATATAGCACGTGGAAATTATCACGCGATGTAATCGGTTTGTGACGGTAGCATTTTGCTATCACATCTGATATTTTGTGTATAAGCGAGAATTTATAACTGCACGAACTACATATTAGCATATTTGATTCGTTTTCGCATCGACACTTTTGTCCGCTTTAACCGACCAAAACTGCCTAATTTCCAAGTCCTCTCACTCGGTAAAATTCTCGTTAATAATGGTTTTGCGTTGAAGCGGAAATAGCACATTACGCTCTACTGATATCAAACGCAAACAATATGACCATCGTTTGTAAAAATACAATTGCTAATCGATAGAAAACGGCACACCAGATGCGTGTGCAATATTTATGTTTCCAGCTGTGCAAAAAAACCAGCCAATAGGAAATTCACACTTCATTCGAAATTTTTTACCGTTGACAGTTAAATGAGCGTCAAGTTTGAATCATAGATTACCGGTGGATTAACGAATAAAAGATCAACTTCATTTTCAAATTTATTCCGTGATATCCCTCTAAAATAGAAACCATCTGTTTTTTAAACACACGCGCCATCTAAAATAGAACAGTAGCACTAATATAATATAGTAACCATTCGTCAATCGCTTCTCCACCCTGTATACTGTTACATACAAGCACGTATGTAATGAAATCAATATATCGATTACCTACGGTAAGACCGCCGCGAGCTATGTATAATCAACAGTCAGCAAAGATGCCGAAAGCAAGAGAGGCTTACTTCGAGGTATGTAATAAATTATTCGTGAACGTCACATATATAAACACGTAACAAAAGGATTTCAAGAACCTTCCAGAAAAATAAAGACTCAATTTGGAAAATTCGATGATAGTATAAATAAATATAACGCTCGTTTGGGTAAATCAATAAGTTACTAGAAAATTCATTACACTATAAGTATCAAATTAAGCTTTTAGCCATTTTGGTTTCAAAGTTTTATACAAGCTTCTAATACATGCACCGTATACGAGCAAACTTTACTCTTTACGGACAAAGTGTCAAATATATTTCGGTACACAATTAGAGAAACCTCTGGAATGGAACTCCCACAGCACTGAGCCATAAGTCATAATGAGAAAGTAGGATAATATTGCGTTAAGGTCTCACATGGCCCTTTGAAATAGTCATAACATTGTCCGGTGGAAGAACACAGCGTAATGTACAAACAACCCCTTTAAATCAGAATGGAGAACCTTTAGGGAGTAATAACGCTACAAAACATTGAGAAATATTGCTCTAACATGTACGCCAATTCGCACTTAGAAAGTACTTTATTTGTTGTTATTAAACAAACTAAGTTTCTGCATGTTCATCTGTACAAAGGTTGCTTGACTTTGGAATTAAGACAAATTTTTTCTTCTACTACTGTTTTTATTTCTTCATTTTAGCTCGACACGCAGCCCAAAAAAGATGCTAAGTTCTTTAAGGTAGTTGTTCCATGAAAAGCATTTTCTTAGGATTCTTTTGAAATTTTGACAGAATATTTAAGTTATTCTTCACCTATATGTGCAGACTGAAATTATTGGACAATATAGTTATTTAATTTCAAAATTCGCGTTTTTGCGGCTCTTATACATTGTACTATACAGGATACCGGCGAGGCTAACTAGAAATACAATGTTAACTTGGAATCTCTTCTTACAAATGTTTTAAAAAACTACAGAAAGATTAAACAATGTCTAATAACTTCTTTGAAAAAAGTTGGATTAATTATTACAACACAGTTTCTCAGATAGTAATTAATAAATAACGAACAATTTATCGCACTCAAGTAGTAGAAGGGATACACGAATGAAGAGCGGTACGGGATTGGCTAGGAATAGTGCAGTAACAGCAAAAAGTTTTNTTTCCGATACTCACAAAGAAAT